TAATAATTTTTTTCGAGACACAAACAAGGCGTGGATTTTTTAAATAATTTTTTTCGAGACACAAACAAGGCGTGGATTTTTTAAATAATTTTTTTCGAGACCCAAACAAGACGTGGATTTTTTAAATAATTTTTTTCGAGACACAAACAAGGCGTGGATTTTTTAAATAATTTTTTTCGAGACACAAACAAGGCGTGGATTTTTTAAATAATTTTTTTCGAGACACAAACAAGGCGTGGATTTTTTAAATAATTTTTTTCGACATCCAAACAAGGCGTGGATTTTTCAAATAATTTTTTTCGATACACAAACACGTGGATTTTTTAATAATTTTTTTCGAGACCCAAACAAGGCGTGGATTTTTTTAAATAATTTTTTTCGAGACACAAACAAGGCGTGGATTTTTCAAATAATTTTTTTCGAGACACAAACAAGGCGTGGATTTTTCAAATAATTTTTTTCGACATCCAAACAAGGCGTGGATTTTTCAAATAATTTTTTTTCGACATCCAAACAAGGCGTGGATTTTTCAAATAATTTTTTTTCGAGACCCAAACAAGGCGTGGATTTTTTAAATAATTTTTTTCGAGACCCAAACAAGGCGTGGATTTTTAAATAATTTTTTTTTGAAGCTACCACAAGGCGTGGATTTTTTTAAATAATTTTTTTCGAGACACAAACAAGGCGTGGATTTTTCAAATAATTTTTTTCGAGACACAAACAAGGCGTGGATTTTTCAAATAATTTTTTTCGACATCCAAACAAGGCGTGGATTTTTCAAATAATTTTTTTTCGACATCCAAACAAGGCGTGGATTTTTCAAATAATTTTTTTTCGAGACCCAAACAAGGCGTGGATTTTTTAAATAATTTTTTTAAATAATTTTTTTCGAGACACAAACAAGGCGTGGATTTTTTAAATAATTTTTTTCGAGACACAAACAAGGCGTGGATTTTTTAAATAATTTTTTTCGAGACACAAACAAGGCGTGGATTTTTCAAGGCGTGGATTTTTCAAATAATTTTTTTTCGACATCCAAACAAGGCGTGGATTTTTTAAATAATTTTTGTTCGACAACTAAAAAGTATATTTTTATGGTCCTATACTCATTCATTTCATACCCCTACCCTTGGTATACTTTTGCCCCTTACTGTTACATATTTTTATTATTTTCCATGATAAACTTCTACAAATACATTTGATGGTTTTCCCTTTGAGCGGCTTAAATGTAATATGATATATGTTGGCCATATACGGGTTTATCAACAACTATAACAGTATTTTCTTGCCACACATTTTTCTACATATGCTCAACACACATAATGTGGTTGACCCACAAATAGACGTCGTTATCTTCTGGTTAAATGTGGATTTTTTATATTGATTGTAAAATATTTGCAGCATATGACAGAGCAGCCACAAAACCAACTTCATGAATATAAATGTGGAGGGGAAAACACCGCAAAAGAGGACAAATTACGTGGCAGATAATAAAAAATGGACATAGAATATTATATTTTTTAAGCCCAGAAATATTTTTTCGAGGTCTCGAAAAAAAAAATATTTAAAAAATCCACACCTTGTAGAGGTCTTGAAAAAAATTCCATTCCAGGTTTCGAAAAAAAATATTTAAAAATAATTTAAATTTTTTTAATGATATTGAATACCATAAATAAATCGAAGTTGCTTCAGTTTTGTTTACATACATATCTGTTAGTCAACTCCACTTTCAATATTTTTTGAAAGTATTTTTGTATTTGTTGCTTATTAAAATAAGGTTATGTTTAACTGATATTTGTCATCATCATCTGTCACATGAGTCAAGCCAGTTATTGTGATTCATATAATTTTTTTGTAATTTATTTGATATTATAAATAATTTTATAACAGAAATTGTTCGTATAGAATTGTCAAGTGATGGATGTAATTTTACACCCATGTTTACATTGATCTGCAAATGAAATTGAGTCTTATCATGGGTCTGATGATAATAGTGCAAGGTTGAGATTTTTGTGGTAGGTTTTATTTTTAATAAAAAATAGTTTTAGGGGTCTACCACAAGGCATGGATATTTAAAAAAAATATTTTTAGCGTCCTATAAGAGTCATGGATTTTTGAAATAATTTTTTTCGAGACCTATAAGAGGCGTGGATTTTTAAAATAATCTTTTTCGGGACCTATAAGAGGCGTGGATTTTTAAAATCATTTTTTTCGATGCCTTTGAAGGCGTGGAATTTTTCGAGGCCTGTCCAAGGCGTGAATTTTTCGAGGCCTGTCCAAGGCGTGGATTTTTTCGAGGCCTATCCAAGGCGAGAAATTTTTCGAGGCCTATCCAAGGCGTGAAAATTTTCGAGGCCTACCACAAGCCGTGGATATTTTATACAATTCAAGGCGTTGATTTTTTATAAATATTTTTAAGGGTCCTACAAAAGGTGTAGATTTTTTTTAAATTATTTTAAGGGTCCCACATAAGTCGTGGATTTTTTTTAAATAATTTTTTCTAATTGAGAGCTATTAATTATTTCATACATCAATTCAATTCCAAAAACCATAATATTGAATGGTAAAATTACGCCAGTAGAATAATTTTCGCTTCATATTTGTGTTTGCTTAACATCTTTTGACAATTTGCCTATGAGCGTTTGGATTTTTTTTTCATATTTGTGGAAGCACTTAAATTATTGGTCGGTCAGTTGGTATGTCTCACGGTCGAATGGTCGGCATTTCGTTGATGGTTCTACATACAAATGAATCAATTATTGATTTGCCATTTAGGGCTCGTTTGCCATTAGGTAAACAGAATAGAATGGCAAGTGTAGTGGTGGTTGTGAGTATGAGTAGTTAAAAAAATATTGAAAATATTCTTAAGCGATATGTTCGCTCGCTACATTTCCTCGTTGACCCTCCTTATCGTATTTGCGTAAGTACGTAAGTAAGGCAGATTTTATTTCTTCCGATAACTATTCTATTTTTTGCAAAGGGGGGTTTATTATTTTTTATTACTCATCGTCCTCCTATTTTTAAGTGCTGATTGTCACACAGACAAATTGTTGAGTCTTATCTAATCTCAGGTTACTTTAGTTTGTGAACAACAAAAATTAAAATGTTAATCTTTATTTTTTGTGATATCAAAAATTCAATATTTATTTTAATATCCACATGATTGCGACAGAGAAATGGTCACTAGGGCAGGGAACTAAAAAAAATATTTTTCAAGGACCTAACATCTATACAAGGCGTGGATTTTTAAAATAATTTTTTTCGCCACCTATATCAGGCGTGGATTTTTAAAATAATTTTTTTTCGCCACCTATATCAGGCGCGGATTTTTTAAATAATTTTTTTCGCCACCTATATCAGGCGTGGATTTTTAAAATAATTTTTTTTTCGCCAGCTATATCAGGCGTAGATTTTTTAAATAATTTTTCCCCACCTATATCAGGCGTGGATTTTTAAAATAATTTTTTTCGCCAGCTATATCATGCGTGGATTTTTTAAATAATTTTTTTTTTCGCCAGCTATATCAGGCGTGGATTTTTTTAATAATTTTTTTTTTCGGCACCTACATCAGTCGTGGATTTTTTAAGTAATTTTTTTCGGCACCTACATCAGTCGTGGATTTTTTAAATAATTTTTTTTCGGCACCTATATCAGGCGTGGATTTTTTAAATAATTTTTTTCGCCACCTATATCAGGCGTGGATTTTTTAAATAATTTTTTTCGCCACCTATATCAGGCGTGGATTTTTAAATAATTTTTTCGCCACCTATATCAGGCGTGGATTTTTAAATAATTTTTTTTCGGCACCTATATCAGGCGTGGATTTTTTTAATTATTTTTTTCGGCACCTATATCAGGCGTGGATTTTTTAAATAATTTTTTCGCCACCTATAACAGGCGTGGATTTTTTAAATAATTTTTTTCGCCACCTATAACAGTCGTGGATTTTTTAAATAATTATTTTAACATCTATATATACAAATAATCAACAAAAATATTTTATAAATATTTGCTGCTATTTTTGTTATTTTATCTTTGACCAAAATTAAAAAAAACATGTTGATTATACAACCTTGACAAAAATATATAAATAAAATTTCAAATTCCATATGGACGGATGTATTGGATGGCGGTGATATTCATTCCAAAACACTTTGCTAGTCTGCCAAATGTATTATTTTTTTCAGTTTCTTGACCTACAACAATAGAAGAACAGCAACAACAATATCGACCACATTTGGCAGACATATGGATGTGTCTACCTAGCTCTTGTTCCCAAATCTACTCTTTGGAATAACAAGCTGTAAATTTAAAATAAAATTAAAATACAACTCGTCTTCGAAATATTTGAAACAGTAATTATATTTCAAAATTTATGATCTAAACAACTACTAGTTTTTTGTTTTGATTAAATTTACATTGAAAATTCTTTGAAATAGTCAATGAGTCATCAATTTCAAATCTGGTCATTTACTATTTAGTTTTACTGACTAGACAATAAATAACAAAACAAAAAACAACAACAACCGATCAAGTAAATATCGAAACAATAAAATTGTAATCAACTGCTGCTGTTGTCACACGAAGTATAATTAGCGAATCTCAATTGCTGTTAAAGGGGGTAATCAATGGATTTTTTATAGCCAGAAAACAATGTTGTTGTTTGTTTATTTTATGTTTTAATTTCAATTGATGATGTTATTGTTGATACAAAATTTAAAAATTATTTATTTACAAAGCAGCCAGAATATATTTTTTTTAATTATTAAAAAAAAATCACGCCATATATAGACCTTGAAAAAAAAATTATTTAAAAAATCCACTCCTTGTTTGGCGTGGTAGTAGGAGTAGGAGAGTTGCCAATGCCCATCTTCATGGGTGGCGGATGGGAAGGGGGTCTCCATGATGTGCAGAGTGAAACTGACCTAGGTCTTTCTCTGCACTTCGTGGAAACCTTGGGGATCTTCGGAACCCTCGTGGACCAAAATGGATCAACTACGATGGCTAAAAGAAGTAAAAAGAATAATGTTACGTTGAAGGGAATTAATAACCCAATACCGGCGGCAATCGTTGGTGAGGTCACAAGCCACGTGTCGTCGAGATCAAACGATTGTGATCCGGCTGTTCTAGGTGTGGATGCCTTGGCACCTGCAGCGGTATTTGTTACAAGTGCATCAATTCAAATCCAAAACGTTGATGAACCGGCTATTCTTTAGGCAAATGAGCATGTCAAGACTGGTGAAAATCAGTCTCTGGCTGACAGGACTGTAGTTCTGGGAGGGGATGACCTACACGGGACTCTAAGCGCTATGCGCGATAGCCTAGAGGAGCAAAGTAAGGAACTCTTCGATCAGTTTGGCAGACTGAAGAAGAGCAATGTGGAGATATGCTTCCGGAGGAACTGCTACTGAATCTTACCCTAACTGTTGATGATGAGCTGAACACCACGGTGATCCCAGCCAATTCTACACAGGGGGATTGTTGTAGTATTAACGAAGGAAGCGCAGACCCTGTTGATCGACCGACTTCAAGTCTGACTACAACAGGCGAACGGCCTTGGTGTAAATCCAACGAAAACGGAACTGGTAATGTTCACCAGCAAGCGTAATCTCGGCGTTTTTGCTCCACAAACACTGGATGGAGTGCAACATCATCTATCTCCCGAAGCAAAGTACTTCGGCACAATCCTGGACTGTCAACTACGATGGAATAGGAACGCTGAACTCCATTGGAAAAAGCTGGGGGATAAAACCATCGAATATACACTGGTTGTATAACACCGTGGCAAGGCCCATCCTATCCTATGGCTGTCTTGTGTGGTGGAACTGTCTGAGCCACAAGTCGACATCCAGTATATTAGATAAGGTACAAAGGGCCGCATCGATTTTAGTTACAGGAGCGCATACCTTGTTGACCGACCGACATCAAGTCTGACTACAACAGGTCCTGTGTCGGCACCTGCCGACAAAGTTCAGAGGTAATCTGCGACGGAGGCGATGTCCGACGATGGGAAATCTGTCGAAACCCCAGCAACGGACAGCGGCGCAAGAGTTGGGAAGGCTCGAGAAGTAGCTGCTGCGAAGCATTACAAATGTGCTATATCGTATCTCCGCAAATTCGTGGGGCGAGACGGGAATTTGATCTCGGAGAGACATTTGCTCTCCTGGGGGAGCAAATGTCGCCCACAGAGAAAATCTTTGAAGCGCATCCCCTCTTCAGAAGGCCCGCAACCCTCACCAAAGAAGACGATGACTTCTCGTATGGCAGACCCTTCTACCTCATACCTACAAACCTACATACAAACGGCGGAGAAACAGCCTAGTACAGAGAAGGGATCAACCTCCTCTGGAAAGGCGATCTCCAAAGTTCGTAGCCAAAGACAGCGAGAGCCATATGACAGACCTTCGAAGGTAGCCGCTGATGAAGACCTTCAAGTGGCAATCATTGACAAATCTGATCATCATGGCAGGATTAGTGAACATTATTTAAAAAAAAAATTATTTAAAAAATCCACGCATAAAAATATTTTTTAAAAATAAAAAAATTAATTTTGGGCCTCTCAATTTTTCTCAGTGTATTTGTATTTTCCTTATCACTCTTGGTTGACCACGACAATCAATGTTTTGAAGGGTACTACCTCATCACTTAGTCCAACAACGCAACAGTTAGACCCCTTTACCCACTCCTCTTCCCCTCCTTGCAAAATATTTATCACACTCATTTTTCACTCTTTGGCATTCTCAGTGAAATTTTCACTCTTTGTGTGTTTTTTTTTTAATTTTTTGTTTTTCATTATTTTTTGATTATCTGTAAATAAAAACTACTCACACGGGTTGGTGAGGAGAGAGCGGAAGGAGGGACCACAAAATTTTTTCAATGCACAAACATATACCATGTCTGTCCGAATGTAATCTACATGTTTTGTTTCTGTTTTTGAGTAGTGTATCAGAACACAGAGAACCCCTTTTTTCAGTCAGTCTCGCTCGATCCCGTCGCATTATCTATCAGTGAATATTTTTATTTGGTTTTTTATTCGCTATAAACATTTTAATTTTTATTTTCGCAATGTCGAAACAGTCGGGTAGTATTAATTGAACAAATTGTTGTTATTGAACCAAAGAAATAAAATTAAAACATAATAAAAAATAAATAAAAAAAAAAATCACAACAAGTGAAGTGATTCAAAATCTCGTTTGAAAAAAAATTTCAAATATTTTTTTTGGAGATAAGAAAACTAAATTCTGATTTACAACAAGTGCCGCAAATATCCGTTCATTCCAACAAAATGCCTTACGAAACATTGAGGTAGCTAAAATATATTACAAAAAAAAAAGAAAAACAACAACAAAAGTTTTCTAAAATTTCGCCACCAATTTTTTTTGCGTTGTGATTTTACAATAAACTGTGATTTTTTTTCTTCTTCTTCTTCTCATAATTGGTTTTCTTCGAAAATCTAATGACGTTTGCAGAGAGTCCCCTCTCCCAATCTCAGTGTGTGTGTGTGATTGTGTGTGCATGCTCTCCCTTATAGTATCCATTTCAATTATTAATTAAAAAAATTAATATTTAATAATAATATTAATTAAATATTTATTTGTATTATTTGTTTTGGTTTTTCCTGACCCCTAATGGCTTACAATCGATTTTCTACTGTCGATTTTATTTTTTTTTCTGTTTGTTTTATATCCTAATTACCTGTCAAATGTGTTTGTGGATATTAATGACATTTTTGATAATGATGGCCATTGTGACGTTGATGAGAATGACTCCCATATTTATTTATTGTTGTTATTGCTGTTCTCTCATTGCTTACACTTGTCACCTATGTCTAACGGCAAAAGGGCAATATGTCACTCAGGTTTATCAACGAAGAACAACAACAACAGTGACAGCAACACCAAAGTAAACATGTGTTCTCTAAGGTTAAATGACAAACACTTAATGACCACTGACCGTTACTACTACAATGACGGCAACTCTCATTTATAGGTTACACAAGGTCGATTTGTGGAATTAATGGAAATAATAAATTTATTTCAATTAACTCCACAAATTATCTTTAAATAATTTTTTTTCCAAACCTATACTAGGCGTGGATTTTTTAAAATGTTTTTTTCCAAACCTATACTTACTTAGCTGGCTTGTAACAGAACTTTCGTTAAATAAGCCGAGCTTTAAAAAAGATTTCCAGACGCGTCGGTCTTTTGCGCAGTTTTTCCAATTTGAAAGACCCTATTCGGCAATGTTGTCTTCCACTTGGTCTTTCCATTTTATATTAGTGGTCTACCCCTTCTGCGTGAACCATCAGCTGATGGTTCTCACAACATGACCTAGCCAAGGTAGTCACTGCAGCTCAATACGTCTAACAATGTCAATGTCCGAGAATAGCTGGTATAGCTCATGTTCATTCGACGGCGATATTCACCGTCAATGCAGATCGACCCATTAATCTTTTGGAGAATTTTTCACTTAAACCTTCCAAGAGCTGCCACATCTGCTTGAGCAAGTAGCCATGCTTCAGATCCACATAACAGCACGGGCTGGGGCATCTTCATTCATTCTCACAACATGACCTAGCCAACGTCTAACAATGCCGATGTCCGAGAATAGCTGGTACAATTCATGGTTCATTCGACGACGGCGATATTCACCGTCAACGCAGATCGGTCCATAGATCTTTCAGAGAATTTTTCTCTCAAACACTCCAAGAGCTGGCTCATCTGCTTGCGCAAGTACCCATGCTTCAGATCCATATAACAACACGGGTAGTATCAGTGTCTTGTAGAGTGTGAGTTTGGTCTGGCGAGAGGTGTCCTTTTTTCTAAACTGCTTACGTAGACCATAATAGCATCTGTTGGCCATCACAATCCTTCTCCAAATTTCAAAACTGATGTCATTCGTTTCGTTTATGGCGGGACCAAGGTATGTAAAATCTTTGACTACCTCGAAGCTGTAGTTCTCAAGTTCCACAGTTGGTCCGAGTCTACTGGACGTCAGCGAGAATTTTTCTCTCAAACACTCCAAGAGCTGCCTCATCTGCTTGCGCAAGTACCCATGCTTCAGATCCATATAACAGCACGTGTAGTATCAGCGTCTTGTAAAGTGTGAGTTTGGTCTGGCAGAAGGTGGACTTGCTTTTGAGTTTTTTGCTCAGACCATAGTAGCATCTGCCAGACCCACTTTGGCAAACTCCTTCTTAATTTGTTAAAATGTGGCTATTACCGCTCTCAGTATTCGACCCATTATGTCGATGTCACCGGCGTAGGCGAGTAACATGTATTGTTTGGTGTACAGATTGTCATTTCTGTTCACCTTTGCGTCTCATATGACCTTTTCCAGCAGGATGTTAAAAATATCACACGACCAACAATCACCTTGTCTGAATCCTCGTTCGGTATTAAAGGGCTTTCCGACTTTAACTGCTGATCTTATGCCACTTAAAGGTATCCTGCATAGCCATATTAATTTTGCAGGAATGCCGAACGCAGACATGGCTTTATACATCTCTGAACGGATAGGTCTGTCGAATGCGGCTTTATAGTCGATGAGTAGATGGAATGTGTCGATGTGTTTTTCGTGGGTCTTTTCCATGATTTGGCTCAGAGTGAAGATCTGGTCAATGGTGGATTTGCCAGGTCTGAAGCCGCATTGGTATGGTCCAATAATGTCATTGACCGTTGGCTTCAGTCGTGTACACAGCACACCGGGATAGCTCTTTATATGCGAAGGGAAGAAGTCTAATTCCTCGATAGTTGGCACATATCGTCTTGTCTCCTTTTTTGTGCACAGGACACAGGATGCTGAGGTTCCAATCATGTAGCATGCATTTTTCGAGCCAAATTGTACTAATCAACTGGTGCATGCTCCTGACCAGCATCTGACCACCAGTCATGAATAGTTCGGCTTGTAACCCATTGGCACCTGCTGCTGCCTGACTTCATCTTGGCTGGGTGGTATACACCCTATATTGATGTCTTATTGATTTTTTAAATATTTTTTTTTTTCTTTTTTTTTTTTTTTTGAATATATAAATTCCACTTTTTTCGGTTTCTGTTTTTAAAGAAATGACCTCAACAAATTTTTAAATAAAGTTATTATTCATAAACCAGAAAAATTTCCAATAAATTGAACTTTTTCCATAACAAATTCAGTTAATTAATTATTTGTTGTTGCTGTTGTTTGTGTGTGCTTAGTAAACAAATGTCAATATTAACACCCCCAAAATAAGTTCTGCAGGCTATACAATGTCCCACACATGTGTAAGAACACACTCGTCATCAATATCGACCTCCACACACCTCGGAGACTCCTACTCCTCACTCGCCGATGTGTTCTGAAATGCAAAACACACAC